ACACAGACTGTGACAGCCATACGGTCTTTCTGGAAGTTTGAATCACCATTGTTCTTCCATAAATGGTATTTCTATTTATTCATTTAATATTGTGTATCTGAGCTACCAAATCGATTGCAATAATATTATATAAGAAATATATATTTCAGAGGGTTGAAAATGGTGGGTCCACCCAGTACTCCAAGATATGACTGCAACAGGCCTTCATGGAGTAAGGAACCAGTGGAGAGGTCTGGGGGGCCAACCCCAATCCTAACTACTAAGTGGACACCTGCCCCTCTCCCCAGAAGAATTTATTTCAAAGGACAGCATTGAATCTGCAGGTCCGGGAGAGGGACATATCTGATCGGAGCACATGGATGCAGACGAAGGGGGAGGAGGAGAGAGTGGATTACATCCTGACCCACCAGGCATTGAGGATGATGTTCCCAATTAGAACAGCCAGTCAGTCCACAGAGAGGACATGAGACATGTCCCCACTATGAGACATGACATCCCTCACTGACCCATAGCCTTCCAGGGAACAACGGAGACACCGTGTGGGAATTACACCCAATCTGATTCCACCACACCGAGGCAAAACACTAAGGGGGTGCAACAGAACAGCAAGGGAACAGAGGGGTGAGGTCCCCAGGGAATGCTGAAGGTGGACTTTGGTGCAGGGGTGTGGTGCCCCAACAGACAGGACTGGAAAACACTCCTAAAGGACAAAAAATCAATCCTTGAACTAACTACAAGCTTTTCTTTCTTGTGTTTTGTTTTGTTTTTTTGTCATTGGTTTGTTGTTGTTGTGTTGTATATTGTTGATTGGTTTTTCTCTGTCTTGCTTTTGTGCGTGTTATTATCTACACAGGTCTGTCTAAATAAGATAGGCTGGATGCACACTCTGGAGGAGATACAAAGGGAGAAAACAACCGACAATTCTGGGGATCCTTGGGAGAGGGGGAGGGGGGAAAGGGAGTGGTGTTAACAAACAGAGGGACAACGGAACAACAAGTGATCCAAATCGGTGGTGAAGAAGGTGTGGGAAGCCTGGTAGGGCATGATAAAGGGTAATGTAACCAAGAGG